CAAATAATAACATTAATATCAAAATATTCAAAAAAACAATATAACAGTATAATAGCTATCTGTTCAAAGTCAGTGAACCCAAATGTGTGGGCCACTAAACTCTAGGCCCGACGAAGGTCAACTCATATTACGATCAATCTTCCAATGTATAAAAAAAATGAAGAGTAATAACGGTAAGTTAGCATTTAAAAAAGGTAGAAAAAAACAGAAAATATCTCCACTTTGTGTGATATTTCAATAAAAACACAGAAAGAGAGCACAAACAAAAAACATCTTGATGATAACACTGCCAAACGAGAAGTGATAGTTCAGTAGAATTGAATAGAGGGAATCACATGCATTAGAAGAATGTGTCACACTCCTATTAGTGGAAGGTTGTCGCATGAAGATTTGCATGCGAGACATAGTTGAACCAAGTTGATCTTGGGGTATGTGGTTGCCAAAGGATTGTGGCATGCAAAAAAATGTTGCATATAGAGGGTAGCTGAACGAGAATAACTATTTATGTGGGTGGAGGTAATGTACTGTATCGGAAAGAATCAGTCAGCTTTAGATGTTCCACAACACATCACAATAAAAATAGGTAAAGCTTAATATAAAATCATTATCAATTCAGGACATTAAAATAAATGGAATATTGTTTTCACAAAATTAGACAGTTTTAAAAACTTACCCTATCGCAAGTAAATACGTTACCTAGGTTTGTAAATGTTTATCTGGTTTTGGTCAAAAAGGGGTGAAACATGAACGTACAATCCAAAAACTGTTACATGTGACATTGTGATTAGAACAATTGTGACAAAATCACACAGAACAAAATTATTTCACTTGAAATATTCTGTGCAAGTCCAAAGCTATTACATCATTTAAGTTTTAATTGCATACTTTTGTAAAATATGGCAACGTGAATACTGATTTTTCATGTTTACGCAAGAGTTAAGTCTTCAGAAAAAAGCACAATTTTATCTTAGTTCAATTCTTACGTAGTCCACCAGGGAATTGACAAGAGTAGGTTTTTAAATTAGGGCTAACTTTACAATATGAATACATAAGATTTATTTAACTTATAATTACTGATGAGTGAACAAAATAAATGAAAAATCTTTTACTTGAAATACATGGGACAAAACATTATACATTTAGCAAATTCTAATGAGATATATAAGTCAGTGCCTTATGATAATCGTTCTATAGTAATCTTAATAAAATATCGATACAAAATATATCCCTTAGTCCACTCATTATTTAGGATAATTTTAAAAAGTCAAACATGTAATTTATGTATCACTACTCATAGCTTTTATTAAGTAAGGTCTATTTTAACTAACAAGATAAATAATGCTGTTACTTGTATTCGTTTTTGGCTTTAGTTTATTTAGAGTTGAACTTTACCACACTTAATACAATCAATAAATAAACTTGTATTATTCTACGACCTAACATAATAACTAAAAATCTATACCGAGAACAACCTGGCACTATACATCATTCAGTAGATTAAAACTTTGTCTTTCTATTGATTGAAATTACGATGTTGCAGAAAACATTAACCCTATCGGCCCGGGTACCCTTTACTGCGCATTACACAATGTTTTAGTTTCTTGCATTTAAAATTTTATTAAACTATTTTTTGTTTATGTTATACCAATTAGAATAGCATAAAATATTAGCTAATAATCCATATTTTAATAGTATACAAGTTTTAAGTTCCTCATTCTAAAAGGAAATATATAAAAAAATCCTGAATTTCCATTAGTGTAACACACATGACAAATTTTGTGTTAGGATATCATCATCCCTATTTTATCCATCACCCCCTGAAAATGTATGAAATTAAATATAAAATGCTCTCTATAAAATCATTATTGCTTAAACAGACCATAATTTTTATAGCCTTCAATATTGTTTGGTTACAGAGCTATCAAAGAGAAAATCAGACCCCTCCTGCCACACCCACCTGTCACATCCTCTCTTTCACAATTGGTTGATAGTTCTCTCTTACGTTTCATTACATATTATTTATAACCAACAAAAAGTCAAGGTTTTCATCTATCAAATGGTGTATTGTATAACATTGTGTTTTGAACAGATAACCATCAATTTCATTCCGAGTAGCAACATTGTTCCTGTGCGAAAATTAACTACTAGCTTGGATGAATTTGTAACAGCTCTTGTCGCATAGTTAGAAAGCCAGGAAATTTTTTTAGAAGTAAGTTAATTTGTCTATTTTTTGCATGTTATTTGTCTATATCCTTTGGTGTATTATTTAATTAAATAAAAATTTTTAAGTGCTTTACTATAATCGTTATAAAAAATCAGGCTTAACTCTACTCGACAATCAAGGGCAAGAAAAAAGAAGATTGGGTAAGTAATTTATTTCTTGTTTTTCATATTTATTCTTTATTATTATTATAAAAGTATGGATATCTAAAACTATGGATCATTTTAAGTTATTTAAGACTAGAATAGGTAAAATAAGTAATAATAATAATAATATAATTAAAATTGTTCACAAAGCACACATGCGAGCAGCTTGTGGTTAATGTAATTCGATAGTGTAACGTGAGCTGCACATTCCCCGAGTGATTTACAACTTATAATGGCGAGGATAGCAGTTAGACACAGTTCAAAGGGCAATAAAATTTAATTATAAATAGATGTATAATATTATGAAGTTAGATCTACTTGGGATAAATGAATGTGGTTTCATGTTACAATTTGAGGTCATACTAGAAAGAAAAGAAGGTTAATTTAGGTTTATTTCAATTTTTTTTTTAGTGGTTAAGAGGTCGGTCAAATTAACCGATCCT